TATATATATATATATATATATGGATGCGCTCCGGTGAGAAAGGTGCTCAGTGAAAGAAATAAGAATATATCCTAGTCATTGAATCTAATCATCCAAAGGCTAACAAAAATAAAAAAATTAACACTCATTAAGGGTAGTATGGGTATTTTACACATCTTAATCAGCAACCCTAATCTTATTAGTGGGCCCACCCCCATCACCACACACGGCACGCATCTATTCTACACACACACGCACGTATACACAGACACATTTCACCCCCAATATCTCGATCTCACCTTCGCCGGCTAACCACCGACGCTGTCCACCTCCACTGTCGGTAACACTGCCTGCCAGCATCGGTCTGAGGCCATCACGCCAGTCCGTCGTCGTCAGCCTTCCTCCTGCGGCCCATTTCTCTCCCGCAGCACCGACCAACCACCGTCTATGCCGCCGTCTGGTCCGGCGACCAGAGATCTCATCACAGTCGTCCTCCCTCCGTCGGCCACCGCCTGTCTCGTCTTTGTCACCGCCTTCCTCCACCGCAAAGCTCCGCCGCTTGTAGGTGTACTTGGTGAAAACCGACTCCGACACCTTTTATTCCCGTCGCGGTCGCAGTTCTTCTGCCATACGTCATCGGAGAAGACGACCTGCTGTCGTCACTTAACGAGAAGAGGACCTGTTATCACACCATTAGGTTCAATGTTCATATTTCTTTAATTGGATCGACCCAAATCTGATTTGCACTTTCCTATCAAAATCAAAACAAAATTGCTGAAATCAATCAACATCGAGGTAATCAATCAACAACGAGGTATTGGCGGGGAAGATAATGTCCGGGAGGTTCACTGGCGGCAAGCAAGGGGCTGAGTTGACAGGGACGATTATGAACAAAGGATTGAATTTGGGGGCTTCCGTTTTAAAAATTTGATTTCATTTAGGGACTTAATTGCAATCTTATAACTTCGATTTATTACAATTTGGTATAAGGGCTAAATTTATAATTTACTACAAATTTAATGAATGCACAATAATGTTAATTAACACGCACATTAAGTATGTGTATATGCACATTACAAATATCCTCTTACAAATTATACAATTGTGATGTACAAACTAAAATTTTCGACTGAACTCGAAATAACTAGACCGAACAAACTAAGTAAAAAATTATTTTATTTTTTATATATTTTTTATATAGATATAATATTACTTTTCAGTGAAAAAAATATAAAATATTAAATAAAATGTTAAATATATTTTTTATAATAAAAATAATATTTTTATTTCGGTTATTATGATTGATTCAAATAAACATATTATTTCGGTTCAGTTTTAATTATTTAAGTTAACTCGAGTAATCAAACGAATAATCAAATTATTTTTT